TGGGGGTGCGGTAAGTGCGAGGCACAAGAAAAATATTAGCTCCTGATGAAATTTGCATTCAACGCGGCCCGTATACTCGTATATATGTATATCTCCGCATTTACAACGACTGACGCTCCGTGCACTTGTATACATAGGCGTTGGTGGTGCGGGTCGGTGCGGGCTACTTATCTTACGCAGTAATTATTTCGAAGGGCTTTTTAATTCACTCCCGGAACGCCATTTTTCTTTTGAGCCTCCGTCCTTCCATCTTTCCTTTTCCACTATCCTCATAATTGCTGCTGTAGTGGTTGAGTGCGGTGTGCGTCGGGTGCCTCGGAAAGTTGTGGGTCTGAGTGGCTCGTTCAGCGCTACCGTGATGGTTTCGTCTAGCGTTTTGAGTAGGATTTTACATCGATTTTTTCTCTCTATTTTTAATTTTCCATAGTACCTGTTGAGGACCCATGAAAATTTATTTTCGCACAAGTGAATTAACACACCCTTTATCCAATAAGCTGAAACTAATATAGACTGAGTGGTTTGTATAGGTACATTTTACTAACGCGTCTGAAATATATATTCGTATGTATTAATGTTTATGTAATAAAAAAAGTGTAATGCAGAGTTTTGGCAGATCATTATGATTTTAACTACAATCCCAAGCTATACTTTACGACATGTACAAAGAAAAAACATCTCTAGGGATATCGTTGTGTAGCTGCAACTCGTTTTAGGAATAAAAGGTTACGTGTTCGATGCAGGTGCTTACGAAGGAATAATATGGGAAAAGAGAATAAGTAGGGGGTGAGCTTATCCAAAGGACCTGGGAATCGTACTGTGTGTGGCTGTACATGTATGTTGGGGTACATTGGAGTACTTTACGAATTGTATATTCATGTGTACCCTAACCACGTTTCCTTGGTCACTCAAATTTAATTTTTTGTTCTCCGCCCAGTCGAGAAAGGTTAAAATTTGTCATCTCCAAGGAATTGGGAAAGAATCTTTTTACAAGGTTTTAGGATCGTGTCTCTAGACACGGTATTCACTTGATTTAGAGTACTTAGTTTTAATTATTACGTTAATAATTTGGTAATATAATGAAATCTCATTCACGATGGTGCAGAACTTTTTATTACGTGGTATGAAAAAAAAAAAAAAAAAAAGTGATGAAAATTCTTACAAACCTACATCGACAACATTGCCCGTTGCCGTGTTACAATTAAACAGTTACCTCTCAAATAGTTTATACCAAATATTAAGATCTGGAAGCATACAAGTGTTAATATGAATGGCCATGGAACCCCTGAATATGGCAACAATTTACTGGCGAAATAAGTCAAAGTGCAATACTCCAACAATCACAGCTGGCCTACACCTATATACGTTTCACGTAGCGTGATAAACTAATAAAGAAAAAAAACAATATATATATTAATAATAATAAACAACCGCCGTGTACGCCTACTCTTTTTCTTGCTCTTTGTGTTTCTTCTAACGCATGAATACGAGTCCGGAAAATCAGGTCAGCCACTGAAAAATAAAAACACTCCCAAAAAAAAAAAAAAAATTAAAAAAAAAACGGTCAGTAGCTAGGTAATATTGCCTGCTCGCCTGCAGCGCAACGGTGTAACGTCAGATTTTGTTTCTGTTTTTGTGGAAATTTTACATCAGTAGGTACACTTACACTGCAAAGAGCTAGTTTTGATTAGCTTACACGGCCGAAAAACAAACAGCATTTCAACACCCAACTTATCTATGGAGGAGATCGGTGATTTTGGACAAAATAACGTATCCACACCGAAACAGCCATCCGTACACAAAGCTCAGCTGCTCGTCACGATCAAATGACCAATAATCGACTCACTGGCACCTCGGCAAGGGCGAATAGTCCGGGCAACGTCGGGGATCATCCAATCCCAGGGAGGCATTTATTTTCCGACTAGGAGTCATTTTGGTAACCGTATGGCAGTGGATAACGGAATCGGCATTTTTTTTCCCTCGACCCACACACGCCCTCGGAGATGGAAAGGATCGAATCTCTCAACGCGCGGTTCGGCCCCGCAAAAGCACCCCAATCAGTCTTAACTACCTACTCTACCTCACCGGCCGAAAGGAAAGGCCGTGGGCCCCCCTCGGGCAGTTAAGGGAGTTTTATTCCTCCGCGGGTCGGTCGGGCCATCCGAGAAATCGCTCTTCCAGGGGGAAAACTAATGGCGCTTCCGAACGACCGGCAATGATCGGGCGTTTAAAACGCGTAAAACTTTCTTGCCCCACCTCCCCCCCTCCGGCGCTCCTTTGAAGGAAACTGGAGTATACGACTCTAGTGCCTCACATCTTCCAGTCACACCAGTTGTGGTGCATGTGTATACTTGACTCGCGTGTGGTTGAGCTAGAGCTGCATTTGTTCCGCGGGAGGAGGGGCTCGATTGACGGACTGACGGCACTGCCGGGGTATTATTATAAGCTCGGCCAACTAACCACGGCCTACGTGAATTTATCACCTGCTAGCTCGTGTCGTGGTCCTCGAGGACGATGGATTAAGCCGATTACTCCAATTAAGCGTCTTAACGCTGTCGAAGGGCCCTCGACCCCTGCCTCTCCTTACTTACCTCTGCCCCCCCCCCCCATGACGCGGAGGACCAACTCGTTAACATCCCATTCAAGATTGAAAGTGCCTGCGACCGCTCCACCTCCGAGTGTTTACATGCACATGTATATGTACATGCACACAGGAAGAGTACCACTTCCTGATGCTGCTGCTGTTGTTGTTGTAGTTGTTGTTGTTGTTGTTATTTTAGACATGCACGTCGCTCGCCCTCGACTCCCGGAGTGCATCGAGTTTTTGTCGTCGTGGCTCCTCGAGAACTTGCGCATTATGCAAAAGCTCATCACTGTTAATATCAATTTTATCAATTTTAACTCTGCACTGCGACTCGATGGAGTTTAGTTGCTTTGTTTTAGGAATCATTAGGAAACTCGTGGTGTTTTTACTTTCAGGGGTATAAATTAATTTATGCCACGTACAAGGACATATTTGGCTCGTCCTGGAGTTTTGGTGTAACTTTTCATTGGTAGAGAAGTCAGTAGTGCTATATGTTTCATCGACGACTGGATAGTTTACTTGGGATGATATCGGTGAAATGAAATTCTCGGCGTTTCCTGTGTATGCCATTGAAAACAGGATAGACGCTTGCGGCCGAGAATATACATATAACATGCAAGTCGTGCAAAGTTCAATTGGAACTGCACTCTCCGGCAAGTTTCCGCCGTCGCCACCACCGCATCGGGAAAATCGCTCGGCAACTATTATTGTTCCAGGCAACACTACAATCACGTACACAACCTTCCTTTTTACCGATTTACCTTCGTAAATTCGACCAGATGGAGGATTGTCAAGCCCAAGATCTATTATTCCACTTTCAAACGTACCTATCCTTCTCTTCGTCCTTTCAAATCACTTGATCGAGATGGATGTGGCTTTATGCTTTTATTTAAAAAAAAAAAAAATTTTCTCTATATGCCGTATTACATCGTTAACTAAGTTTTCATTTTCACTATCCTAGTGATGTGAATCACTTAAAAAGTACGACAAACTCTCTAAACTACGAAACATACATTATTTTTTAGGCTATGAGTATGATAGAGATGTTCGTTTTTTTTGTTAGTTTGAAAATTTCTTACATCGTAAAATGTACCGATAGCTTGAGAGTAATTAACACGAGCATTTTATAAAAAAACATCGATGTCATTCAGATAAACTAAAAATAATCTCGTTGATCTTAGCCATCTCCAGCCTGGATATCGACTTACACAGAAAGAAAGAAAAACTTCAACGAAACGATATAGAAAAAAAAAATGATGTTACATATTCACTTGATGCTCTTCCCTTTCGATCGGTAAACTTTTCAAATGAACGGCCTCGCCGATCCCGAGTACCGATCTCGTATTTCAAAAATCCCAAAGTATACATCAGTTGCGAAGTTTCGAGTGCCGTGCACCCCCAACATTTGCATATTCAAAAAAGAGCCACTACTCGGAGTTGCAATCATAAAAAAAAGAGAGAGAGAGGAGTATATAGATCCACAGAGAGAAACGATCGGTTGCTCCATATACACACACGCGTGGCTTTGATATTTCGTATTCAAGCAATGCACCTCCAGTTTCGCTTTGCTGACCATCACGGGACCCTCCCTCTTCCCTCCACACATACATATACCGAGTGATATGTATCAGACTATTGGGGTATACGTGTCCCTGCGTCCACTCTACATATCTTTCATCGGGTTTCTCCCTACGCGTGCCGTGACCCCATGTTATTTGGGTCACGTACAGCATACCGGGCTCGCTTTGCATTGAAGCAGGTGGTGGATGAAATTAAACCCCTATATTACCCCACTCGGTCTATACTGTTAAGAGACGGCTTGGGAAAAAAAAAAAAAAAAAAAAAAAAAAACGTTCAAGTGCACTGGCGTAAACGACTAATGCCGAGAGCAGGCGCTTCAAATTTTCGGCGCTATTTATTAAACGGGAAAGCCCCGTTGGTGTAATTAACGAGGAAATAGCAATCGACCGAGGAAGGGAGAAAGAGAACGTTAATCCGCCCGAGCCCCCCCTCTTTACACGTCCTTTTTATCGAGGGAGCCGCGGGAAATTAAATTTCGTCCCGTAGCTATATACATTGGAAACGACGAAGCTAAAATTATGCGAGCCAAAGATGAAATTTCAATTAATACCCTTGTGGTATGATTACGCGAGGGATATGATTTTTTTTTTTTCGCAAGGCTCGGACGGAAATGAGATTTTTTTGGCAGTCTCTTTCATCCTTCGTATCGCAAAGCTTTTGAAAATCCAAACAACTTCCCCCCCCCCCTCCTATATTTCGCTCGGAAAAACAAAAGCCACTCGTCAGTGTATTGCCAACAGTACTCGTAACGTAACCTCTTCCAAAAAGTTGGAGCTCCAAGTCAAGACAAGAGTGTTGAGCGTTTGTGTGATTTTTCTAGACAAAAAGGAGGAAGATAATGAGTTGCATACCAAAACCAAAGATGCGGGGTCTGCACTTGGCTTCCTGCCGTCGTCACATAATTCTAGCAGTGATAACCTCAGCCTGCTCGGGCCTCCTGTGGAAACTTTTCGTCGCGGACCCGCGGAAGAAGGCCTACAGGGACTACTATCTGTGAGAGACCGCCTCCTTCTACCCGCGATTTCTCGCGTCGCCGTGTCTTATTTCCATTGTTGTTTTCAGCGACTACGATGCGGAATTCAGTGCAGAGTACATGTCGGAATACCTACAGTCGGGAAATCACAACGGCGACCACTGATTCATTCGCACGAGTCTGTAACGCGTTTCATAAATTCGTGCTACATAAACATTTGTTACGAATCAGTTGTTTTTTGACCTTTTCCTTAACGCGAAATTCATCGCATCGGCAAGTATACAAGCGCACCATTGGCCATTCAGCCGGAATCGCCTTTCAGTAGCAAGAAGAGCCTATTATTTTAACCTCGCTGTGAGTACGTTGTAAGCCGTTTTATGCAAAAGTCCGTAACTCGATGAATAAAAAGCACGAGGGCCGGAAAAGTTCGAGCGAACCTCGCTCGACAAGGTTGTGAGTAACGAAATCAAAGCTCCGAGCGTCTGTATATGCAGCACAGTATACCACTTTGTTGGGGGGAAAAAAAAGTGCACGCATGGAGACCATGTATTTTCCTAATAGCAAGACCCATAAGCTTATATTATGTACGTGCACACACAAAGAGAAGAGGGGGAAGAAACGTTGTGGGGCCAAACGGGGAACCCCAGAGCGCCGGGCCGGTGAGTAACTTTTCACGGCGAGCAAGTTTTAATCAAGTTTGAGAAATTAGAAGAAAAGTCCGGCGTGTAACGCGTCTCCTCCTCCCCTCCCTGGGCGTGCCACTCAATTTATCCGTCGACTTTTCCGAGCGACTGTGTCCTTCTGGCCGGCCGTCGTTTCCAAAACGCAACACCGCGTCGCCAACTTTGTTAAGTAGAAAATGGCCAAGTTGGCACCTCACGCGTAGGTATACATATACACCCGAACTTTGATGTGTACGTAGATACGCGCATGTGTACGAATACAAGCGTATGGGCACGTGAAAAGTTTATTCTGAGCGAGAGGTCCGCCGCGCGCGCGTGCGAAAAGAGAGGAATTCGATAGCGAAAACAATCGCGTCGCGCTACGAGTTATTTGATCGGGCTCCGATGCCCCCTAAAACTATACATTTCGCAGCGCGAATCTTTTGTTTGCCCGTGTTTTTTGTTTTTCGCAATCCGATCGCGCCCCACGGAGATTGAGAACCGCGAGGATTCAATCATTCCGTTTTTCGCGGCTACCCTCCTGCAATCGACTCAAATTGGGGCGCGAGCCGTACTCTAACTGATACACTCTCACGTACCTTCGTTTGTGTACACCTTTGGAGCCAAAAGAGGAGAGAAAGAGAAGTGCTTGTTATTACGTTTGAAATTTTTGCGTTTGGCGCGTACCAGGATACGCTCGGGACTTTGACGTGCATCTACTATCCGAAAAGGGGGGAAAAAAAGGGTTGGAATGAAAAGAGAGATCGAAACGAGGGGGAGTCGGGAGGAATGACAGTGCTTTCGGGGGGAGTTGCGCGGGCTTTGAATCAGCCAAGGTATGGTATAAATAGGACCCAGTAGTGTGGTCCTACTTTGGGCGCGCTGGTACAGAGGATGGGCGCTGATGGTGTTCCCAGGAGGCAGATCGAGTCTGGCTGGGAGGTTTAATACGATCCCCTTCCCCCCCCCCGGTCTGCCGGTAATTTTACGCTCCAAGCGTCTCGAAAGCCTAGCTCTTTTTCCGAGGGTGGTTCTCATCCGGGCTCGCTCTTGCAGTGGCTATTACACTCGTCCGTCCGGTCGGCTGACGGACTGTGGGAGTTGTTTGGGTGTACACAGCTGCCGTGGGAAAATTGAGAGGGACCAATTTGTTTTTGACAATCTCCCCCCCCCCCTTTTTTTCTCTTTCAGCCCTTTCGGGGGGTTGCTCCTGTGGTTTTTGTTTTAATGCATACTGTGGCGTGCCGAAAGCAATTAAAACTTTTGCACGGGGGAGGCCGAAGCTGCAGGTAGGATGATTGAGACTTGCGGCAGGGGAAAAATTAACCTTTGGGGGAAATGTGGCATTTTAACTGTGACTTTTTAGGGAGTGTCAGTAGCGTGACATACGTTAATATTTTCATGGGATGGTGATGATACCGCTGATGTGACGTTTTACTAGAGAAGATTTCGCAATCATATTTTTTTTTTTAAAAACATTGCAAGCTTCAGTGATGGATGGGACCGTTATCGAGATATTAAGTGTCAAAGTCATGGCTTTGACGCATGGGAAGCTTACGGAGAAGCGGATTTTTAATGAATTTTTTTTTTTGCAATCCTTAAAGTTATCCGTATACACTCTTCGATGCAAAAGAAATACGTTGCATGCAAAATATTGTACAGCCAAAGAAGCTTTGACATCTCATTTTCAAGTTGTTGTTGATGATCAAAGCTAATCATGGTACATGATTCTTTTTACTTGAAAAATTTTTAATGTACGATAGAAGTGGCCGTTTATGGGAAGCTCATGGTCTGAATCCATTTAAAGGATGTCGAAATATTAATGAATATTTTAGCTTACTGGGCTAGGCGCACCTTGTCACTGCAGCATCGTACCCCGCCTCAGTTATAATTTAGGTTAGATTCGTCATTAAAATTTCATTACTACGCGACGACGTTGTTCCTCCGCATAGTTGCAACACGACGTTCTCATTTTTAATTTCAATAAAAATCTCGTTAGACCATAATAGTGGTTTTACCGGTTCAATCTATTTTGCTATAATCATGTATAAGAAGTCAGATCCCATTTTTTTCCTGTGTCCACGTAATTTCATGTATGCGTACATTTTTTATCGCCCACTGCCTGGCATCCATGCATTATTCCAACAAATTCCTGGATATGTTTCACGAATGAGCTTTTCATCCCAAAATCAATGACAAGTATCGAGCAAAACCAGTGATTCGACGGCAACTCGTTAAACTCTACACGTCAGGTTCAAGTAGTGTATAAAGCAACGCAAGCGATGCTCGCTTATTAATGTTTCGTGAGTTGGACCGAAAGAAAGTTGGATTATTCAAGACGCACGAGCCGCATATTCCACATTCAAACTCAAATGGGATTCCACGTGCTCTCCACGAAAAGAGAAAACAACATTCTCGTTCTCTCCCTAACCGTTCCTCCTCCCCTTACCAGATAACAAGGCAGTAAGTAAAACTTTAGCGGAAACCAAGTGTATTTTTCCACCCGCTTGCACAGTCCTACACGTGATTCCCTCCGAGAACTTGATAAATGTCACGTGCAACTCTCGTATTAGCGAATATTATAATGTTTAGTCTGATCCTTCATTGTAAATTAATTAATTTCATTTCAAATAACTATTATTGACATATGAAATGATGTTACCCCACGAAAAAAAGAAAAAACGAGGAAGCCATTCGATCGATGCTCTCAACAAGTACGAAATTAAATCGAAAAGATTCTTCAGCTCGGGTAATTCATTTGACGAGTAACGCTGCTCCAGATTAAAACTTTATCTCCCAGCCGATGCGATACTATTATCCGCGCTCCATCTCCCCCATCTGTTGTCTTTGAATTTTCCACTCTCGCGTTATTTGTTTTTCTTTCGCGATATACTCCCTCCCCGGGATCCAACTAAATGCACTGCACGTCGCGGAATCGCAATTGTTCTTCGTTCTTTGCCAATTATCTTTCATTCCAGTGGAACTGGTATATGGCTGATGTTTCTCCCTTTGCCGGACGTACGAAATTCAGCTTAATTCAAAGTAAAATCACACTCTCTCTCCTCTGGGCGAAAGGCCGAATTATTTGGAATTTACTCTATTTTTTTCATTATTTTATTGACACACTACTCTTTATTAGAGTTCAACCTTTTTTTTTTTTTTTTTTTTTTTTCAAAACACAAACACTCTAAACTCAACTGAAATGAATATGTGAGCTGATTTCTATTGGAATTTAATCACCAACTCCTTTCTGTCTGGTAGTCGGATAAGTTTTATCTTGGGTAATTGGTCTTTTTTGTGCTTTCTTTTGCGTTTGAAAAAAATTCAACTCGAAAAATCAGTGGGAAGCCCGAGCTCGTGAAAATAATAACTTCTTGAAAACTGTTGAACAAAATAGTTTAAATACTCGAATAAGTAACGACGACTTTTTTTTTAATTAATCAGTACCGAAGTGTTTCGTTAACTTTTTAACAATTCTCCAGAGGACTTTCTTGAAACTTTCGCCTCGTTGTTCAACGTATCTGTAATAGCCATGGCCCTACTATTCCGGAGAATCGTGCATTAAATAACGACGCTTGACGGGATACTTTGCTCTTGTCTCAAAAGTCGTCTAGCATGGATTGATTGATAAATTCTAGATGTTTCATTAGACGGTGTCTTCAAAAAAATGAACATGTGGGGCTGCTGAACACAAATCAGAAACTCAGTTTTTTTTTTTTTTTTTTTTTTTTAATAGCAAAATAGACGGTACTTTTACGGTTATTTAGCTATTACACAGTGAGTTTCCATGTAAACAATAGAAAAAAATAACGAGCACAATGGAGCAATTTCGGTTTTAAATTTAGTTCAGTGACCCCAAAAACACTCACATATACATGTTGGGCGTTTTTTAACGTTTTTCCTTTTTTTTTATGGTCCCAAATAATTAAGTGTTATAGTTTTGTTTAGGATTTAAAATATTACAGTTTTACAGCAAAGTGTACGTATATATGAAAGGATACCGGGACCAGTGTGGTCTCGACCGCATCCGAGCATTCCATCCCATAAAGATTTCCTTAAAATGGACGGGAAACCAAGGGACGGTGAAGAAGAAAATTCGCCAAAATGCCTCGCCGAGGGAGAGAAAAGTTGGTCGTGTGGTAAGAGAAAAAAAAAAGAAAGAAAAAAGCCTGCAATGGAATGAGGGTGGGAAAAAAGAGGAAAAGTGGAATGACTGAAGCTAGCCACGAGACTCGGCTAATAAGGCGCGACATTGCGTTGGCATTTAAGGAATAAAAGCTTCTTGGAATTTTATTTCACCCTCTGCTGCGGGTTATTCTTTGTCCCCACCACCACCGCTACTCTCTTCTGTTCTTTCCTACAATATTTTCATATTTTTAAGGGTGAAGGACACTTAAAATGATACTAAAAGAACAAAGTGCTTTTTACAACGTGAAACATTATTTTATAAAATTGTATTTTCCCTTTGCAAGTTGAGTGCCTTGCAAAATTATTAGGACATCT